AAACTTTAAATATCTGTATTTTCCCTTAAAGATAAAGACCAGTTATGGTCATGCGATTGCATTGTGAAAGAAACGTTGTTGAATCGATCAGAAAAGGTTGATCATCTAGCAGATGAGTATTGGTGTGTACTGCAAGGATCTAGAATCATCAAAATGATAAGAAATTTGGCCCAGTCTTCGTAAAGTTAGAAGCACTGTACACAGAAAGATGTATATGAGACTACGCACACAGGCGCGACACGTGCGTTTATCTCTCGCAGGCCAATAGATAAACTAATTTACCAAATGTATCAATAAGTAGGCGGTTTCCCGGCAAAATTTGTATCATCATGTATTAGTAAAAACATATTCTTTCACATGATTGGTAATAAGAGCTTCCATTTATTTTTTTGAAATTGGGGGTTTCCAATACTGGTCTTTACCTTTAACCCTAAAAAGTTCTTAGTACGGCCGGGGGGGGGGGGCATTATGGCCCCACTTAAGATCTCGGCCGTAAAACGGCCGAACCCCGCGAAAATTTGCACGCATGTCGAGTGAAGTGTATAGAACACTATGACAATTTCGATTTTTTTTTTTTAATTGGCTTATTTGCATATTTATGCAAATAAGGTCATAAATCACATTTTTACCCATAAATCATATATTATTCATATTTAAGCATTATTTTTCACTACATATATTCATTAGACCATTTGGAATAATAATACGACGACGAATTAGGAAGAGCCAGCCTATTCCTTATGTTATCTCTTGTTTTGATAATTTCTTATGTATTTCATTGTTTTTTTTAACTTATATATATATATATTTTTTTTTTTTAATTTCATTTCTAACTACAATTCAACTATCTTGACTCCCAAAATAACCATCTAAACTGTAAACAAGACCCAATAACCAATGTTTGATCTATTTTTAGGAAAAATGACATTTCCATATGTTTTGTACACAAATCACGAAAATGAGCGATTTTCGGGCTGACATCCGAAAACAAAAGTTTACGTGACCTTGAAACTGTAGGTCCGATTTTCAAAAAAAAACTCTTTTAAAAGTTGCGCAGGACTCAAAAGAAAAAAGTCAGCGAGCGGCGGGGCGCCATCCATATGCGTTCTCGAACAATCAGACAAATTGTGGAGGGGGGGGGGGGGCCTTAATAGGGTTAAGAAAATTTTCAATCATGAATTCACCCTAAATATGACTTTCCAAATATGAGTTTTATACAACCCATATACTAAACAAATCTTTTACGTCACAAATGACTAAGAAAAAGACAATCTATGAAATTTTCCATACATAGCATATTGGTGAGGAGTTCAATTTCTATTTCAATGATGACAACTTCAAAACTTCAAAACATTTTTAAATTTTTAATCAGATTTTGCTTAAATACTTTTTCACTAATTTTTTTCTTTTCAAATTGAGTTTTAAGAGCTGGGGACCTAACTGGCAACAAATTATTCCAAACAGCTGCCGTTGTCTATGGTTGCACAATAGAATCTACTGGTGTGCTGTTACCTTTGATGTCCGAGGTTCGAAGCCGCCAATATCAATGGAAAGCTTGAGTAGTGATTTTTTTTCAAAAAGAAATATCCTTGATATTTCACTTTTTCTTTGAACTAACAAAGGGAAAATCGAACAGATGATAAAATATGAATAAAAAAGCCTAATTGTGTCAATAAATTTGCTTACATTGTATGATAGCAGCTTTAATTTGTGAAAAATAGTAAAATTTGACAGTGCTAAACAATTTGACACTTTTCCGATTACTTCCGGCTCACGAAAATAAGTTTTTGTTCATGTACAGTTCTTTTTGATGTTGTATGTCAGATTATAACACATGCCCAGTCGAGTAATTTTAATTAATATTTCAGGAAATTTTGCTCCATTTCCTTTCGCTTGCCTCCTGTAAAAGGTAAAGCACTGTGTACTGCTCGTTTTATCAGACTAATGTGGTAGCGAAAAGTAATTATCATTACAAAAGCATATTTCCCTTTGAAAGTGGCCCTTTAGTTTGCAGCTAGGCAGGAAACTTTTGTCTACGTATCTGCAAGGAAGATCCAGTTAAGCACATGCCTGACATATTTTCTCCTGGCGGCATCGAAGTACAAAGAGAATGAGCTAGATAGGACTCCATCTCTTAAAACTCCTTGGTTAGAGGGAAAGAGAGAGACAGACAGAGGCGGTGGATTGGTAAAGAATGTTTTCTTACTCTATAATACATCCTAGAAAATAAAAAGAAACCAATGTTCATTGACCCACTATAAAACTGTCGAAAATTAAACACACTCGCAATTCCTTTCTTTGTTTAAAGGTTTAACATGTGGATTTTGGGTAATCCGAATAACTTTCAAGGATACCAGTTCTGTGTAGCACGCTTAATTGACGGCTGGAATGATCAGTTTTGCGATGAACTACATAGTTTTGTCTGCGAGATATCAAAGGGTTTGTATGCTGTACTGATACAAATCACGTAATCCTTTACATTAATTATCAGGAAAAAGAACCGATTGATATATCATGAGTCGAAGGAATATTTTGAGCAATAAATTTATGAGTTAAAGGTAATACAAAGATTTGGTAAATTTTGAAAATTGGGTGGATAGTGATTCTTAGCAATTTTGATATATTTTGATGCCCCTGTGGATTTATTATAAGCACGAGAAAAATTAGCCCCTAAAACACTTCTGCTTTCGAAAAAAATTGAATATAAAAATTTACCGGTGCTCCCGGTAAATTGTGATAAATTTCAAATAGCGCCTACAGCCGTACAGTGGTAGCTGCGACCATGAAAATCTCAGAATATGTAGATGTGACATATAATTACCAAACGGGAACAGCTAATTGGTCGAGTTTAGGCAAGAAACATTGTTTTATAGCTTAATTAGTATATTGACCTTGAGAGGGAGCTATACAACATAAAGAGTGCATTATTTACAATGTCATAACTTTAGACTCGATTTCAACCGCGACAACGATCACTGAATATTGTAGGATCGCATATGCGTCCAATATGTTCATTTGGACCAAATTCATGACCCCATACCAAAACTTTGTATTACCTTTAAGTTCTTTCAATCTTTGTATGCCAGACAAACAAAACCCTTGTAATAGGATTGGTGTGTAGAGTCCCGACAAACTTAAGCAATGTCACCATTACGGTTAAGAAAAGAGGTTTTACCTCCATAGCAGTTAGAAATACATTTTTATTTTTATTTTTCTAATCGACAGAACGTTGTAAAGTTTCTGAAAATAATATTATAGCTTTTGTAAAAAATTGAAATCGTCAGATTTGTTAAAACTCCAATGAATGAATTGAAAACATTCATCGTACAAAGAAATTTTGACTTTAAAATATTTCTCTGTTCATGAAGGGTGCCCCCCAGGAAAATGGAATGTGCCTATCTGTGATCGTCTGTGTGATAACTGTTATAACGGAGGAGTGTGTAACCCACAGACAGGAACATGCACATGTCCTCCTGGGTTTACTGGTAAAAACTGTGTTACAGGTAAGTCGTTATAATTATAGATTCACTTTGATATAATCAGGGGCGGCGGAGCGTCTTTTAAAGGGGGCACCAACAAAAAAGGGCACCTCTTTAAGAAAAACGATCACTGATAGAGGGTAAACTCAAAGCGAAAAAATACAAATTTGAGAGTATGATGCATACCCCTAATTATAAATGCATGTACCACCTTACCAATAATCATTGTCAATGTTTCTCTGCGTTTGTTTATGGTTTTTTAACTCCGGCTACAATTCGCGTGTAAAACATTCCCAAAAGGCTAAACTATCGTTGTAAACTCTACGGAAAGTTATTTTCAAGGAAATATCTTGTTCAGCGTGCTAATGTAACGCATTGTATCTACATCTATCTGGCATCATAAATGTATAAACCTGTGTCTTATCATATCGATTAGTGTTACTATTCAGCTATTGTTGTAGATAGGAAACCAATGTTCTTCCCTTTTTATATCTTTCTTAGTAGCAAATCACTCCCTCCCTTTTATGTTGACATTTTAGTTAACCATATTTATGTTATTAATAACATTGATAATGGATTAAAGAAAAAGTTGAGTTCTGGGGAGAGGTGAACACAAAATTTTGATCGTTTTCATTGTTATTATGCAAGTGTGGAAAAACACCAGAGAAAAATGTTTCCTGGAGAGCATGGTTCTCCAAATGCCTTCATTTTTAAATATGACATGTAACAGCTTAACAATGTGGGCCTCATTATTATGCCACATGTTTGTGTAGTCCCATATACATCTTTCTGTGTACAGTGCTTGTTACTTTTACCAAGACTGGGCCAAATTTCTTATCATTTTGATGATTCGAGAACCTTGCAGTACACACCAAATACTTATTTGCTACATAATCAACTTTTTCAGATCTATTCCACACTGTTTCTATCACAATGCAATCGCATGACCAGAATTCAACTTTATCTTTAAAGAGAAGGTTGAGTTCTGGGAAGAGGTGAAAAATAATTTGTGAGCGTTATCATTCTTATTATGCAAGTGTGGAAGAACATCAGATAAGACATGTTCCCTGAAAAGAATGGTTCTTCAAATGCCTTCATATTCTAAATATGTCATGTACATGGTAAAACTCGGGGGGTAGGTTTTTTACGCCACGTGTTCGTGTAGTCCCATATACATCTTTCTGTGTACAGTGTTTGTAACTTTACCGAGACTTGGCCAATTTCTTATCATTCTGATGATTCCAGAAACTTGCAATACACACAAATTCTTATATGCTAGATGATCAACCTTTTCTGGTCGATTCCACACCGTTTCTTTCACAATCCAATCGCATGACCAGAACTCAACTTCATCTTTAAGTGTGTAACTTAATATCGTTCCTTCTCAATACAATTTAATGAACTGTATTGCAAAAAATAGTATCAAATGTATATCAATCCAATGTAAATGGCATATTAATGCACATGAGTATGTATGCTTCAAAAGATAATCTATTATTAATTATCATTAGCAGCATGTGGCGACCAAAGGTTCGGGTCTGAGTGTGAACTTGTATGCGGTTCTGCGATAGCTGATGATTCTTCTTGCAGCGATAACAAGTTTTGCCTTCCAGGTCCAAGTGAATGCAGGTGCATAGCTGGCTACGCAGGAGCATTCTGTAATGAAAGTAAGGTAGCACAGTGAATTGTTTTGAAAGTAATCCAGTATTAAAGTGAGATATATTTTATATGGGTTGTTGAATAACACTATGATCACAGTCAGTAGCATTGCTACCAGGGGGCATGATCAATTCTAATCTTTAAACATTTTATTTCATGAGGTATATTAAAATGATATTTTAAAATCATTCAGAATCTTTTGATAATATTTCGATTTCATTTAATAGGTTTCCCATCCAATTTGGAGGCCTTTTTCCCGTTCTCTCGTTTGTTTTCAACTTATGCTGAATATTTCTTCCTTTTGTTATTGGAGCGTGTTTTTCCAATAGTTACCTTAATACAAGCAATCCCTTTGTTATTATGTATCTAGCCCGACACAATATCTAACGCCTGGGTATTGCTCAATCGAATATATGTGTTGACATTTAATAGAAAATAGAGATCATACTTCAAAATATGTCCTCCTTTCTTTGAGGGTCCACCTTTACCTTTGCAAATTTGATATAACGTGCGAGTATTTTTTTTGTGGCCAAATCGGTAAAATGAAATAGGCCTATGTTCTGATTCATTATTTAATTTCAATTTTGTATAAATTTCAAAGATTTTTTTATACCTAGAATTGACTTTATTCTATATTTTTAGCATGCCGCGATGGGGAGTTTGGCTCTGACTGTCTCCAGGATTGTCACTGTATAAATGGAATGCCGTGTGATGTGTTTACTGGAAGATGTGAAGAGGGCTGTGAGTCGGGATGGTCAGGAGAAGGCTGTCAAGGTAAATTATCATATTGGGCAAATCTAGAGACAGGGGAGGGGTTCAGTATAAATCAATTCAAAGCTATCTATTTCGAATATCAATCTAAAATGTGATAAATGAACTGATGATGTAATGTCGTCTATGTAAAAAATGTAAAAATGCATTCTTAAAGATACAAAATAATTAGAGGATACACCGCTAGAAGCCAAACAAAAAGAAGAAGAAAAGAGAAGAAAACAAATCGTTTGTCGGTGATCTGCTCTTTCCATTATTGACCGAATGCTAGGAGCCTTCAAATTAGGGATGAATAATGTATCGTCGCAATGCGTTACTCCACCTAGGCCCTCGCCATGAATTGCAAAGTCTTCAAGGAAACTTCAAAGTTCAAATATGCAAAAATGTTGTATCCACGATAGTATCCCACTGCTGCCATATATATATATCCACATGGGTCAGACAGTGTTATGGACCTTTCATTAGTTATTACAGACGCGGAATTGTAAAAGAAGGAACATGAGAAGAAGAAGGGAAAAAAAAGAAGAAGAAAAAGGAGAAAGGGTTGCAAGAAAGATAGAAAGAAAGTGTTTTTACTATGGACTTGGAAGTTTGAGAGATATTCCATGTCACCATTGCAATAAAGAGACCAGATAGCTATAAACAATAAATCGAGACCAATATAAATGTAATCTTATAGTGACAAATGAATATACCTATTATTTGATAAAGGAATCTTTGAAAATATTTGCATAAAGCTTTTAAATACGAAAAAAAAATATATATATAATGGTTTATTTATTCAAAAAATAAACCATTATATATATTTGTTTTCGTATTTAAAATACGAAAACAAATGTATTGTATTGCTTTTTTCACAGTGCCATCCGTTTGCCCAGTGGGTTATTTTGGTATCAACTGCACTGACCATTGCAACTGTCCAGATAATGTTGGTTGTGACAAGGTCTCTGGATTCTGTATTACAACAGAAGGTGAATGTGAAGTAGGATTCACATCAGACTCAGTGGACATGCCAGAAAGCTGCAACTCATGTGAGACTCCATTTCTGCATTTAACTAATTTGTAAATATTGCTTTGGTTTTATGCATAATTGTTTATATCATTTTCTGCCGTCCGTCTACCGTGTTAGAAATATTTACAGTGGTAATATACAAGTCATTTAGAAATCGTTATAGGCACAATATTTTCCTTTTGGTTTTTAGATACTGGATGTTACAACCTGTGTTCCGGTACATGTCACTGTCGAGATGGGGAAGATGATTGCAACCCGATGAATGGTTCTTGTAGCTCAGGAAGATGCCATCCACGATGGACAGGGGAAAGCTGCCAAATAGGTATACATCATTACTGCTTTATTCGTGTTTTCGGTAGAGAGTTGCTAATTAGTTTACACATGCGTTTACATTGTGCATTCACATAAGGTTTGTTTTCTCTGGAAAAGACGCTGTATAAATCAAATTATTATTATTATTATTATTATTATTATTATTATTATAATTATCATTGATATTGTTGTTTTTTGCCACGCTGTGTCTTTACTGTGGACTCGCGATATGCCTTGCCTCTCATGTTGTATCGGTATGTTTTATGTTTGCTGTGAAACTACAATGAATTTCATTAATCATTCGTTCACATGTTTATATCATCATTGTATAATTCTTCATGGTAAAGAAAAAAATCCTAAATTGGCAAAGACATGTCACAATTGATAGTGGTCTTATTCGGAATGCAACTTCGATATTGGTCTCTCACATTGAAGCCTTTATTCTTATTCTGTATTTATTCAAGTCTTTTTTATACAGGGTGGCCCTTTCAATAACGAGTATTGCTCTTCCAAGGGGCCCTGTCTTTCTAAGTAACTGTGTACTAGCTTCGGTTAGTTGTGAGAAACATGACATGATAGCTCTTCTTTGGATTCCATTAATTGATTAATTCTTATTTGTCTGAAAATCATCACGAATATAGAAGCACGAAGATTTGATGAGTTAATTGATTATTTCCCTATCTGTCTCCTCTATGGATAGATCGCTTTCAATCTGCACGTGAGAAGACGAACCCTGGTATTGCCATGTTTTCCTGTGCTATCTCGTTCGATTCACCAACTAACGTTGAACCTGACTTAGTGAAAGCTACCACAGGGGATTTCTCAAGGGACAACTGGGAAACGGCCAAAGATCCTCCACAAAACATCTCTTCAACAATAATCAATTTCACGTTTATCATCCAGGATCTTACGAATGACAGTCCTATTTACTGTTTCATCGGGGACCCTTTCAATAAATCTTCCGAGTTTGGCTATGTGAAGTTGGCATCTGCTCCTTTTTATGGTCCGTATGTTTTACAATGCTTTATGAATGATATCCGTGTATTTAATGTTAATGACATCGCTAGACACTGTATGATGTGCATTTCTTCATAAATAAACTGTGTTTAGTTAATAAATGAAACTTATCTTATCACCACATAATACGAATATGTATGATATATCGAGGAGGGTTGCTGAATTATGGAATAAGCCCAAATCCACGTGATCAATGTCTTCACAGTCATATTGATTCAGAACAGCAAATGAAAGCATTATTGTTTTTGCTTTTTGATGGAAACCAACTTATTTCAAAATATCGATGAAGATTTTACTTTTGTCCTGTGTTCGTTTTTCAAAAAACAGAGCTGCCAATCTTAACTTCACTACCAACGTTAGTTGCATCCGGGAATTACTGGGTCGTCATCTCTTGGAGACCCTGGAACAGTTCCATCGATTCAGGTGATGGTCCCATTACTAGCTACAGGGTTTACGTTCATACTGAAGATGGAAACGAGACACACAGTGCTACCTTACTACCAGATGGATCTTTGGACACTGGGTCTTCAAGAGGTAGGAGGGAAGTGACTAGTAAAGCTTTGGACTTATTGGAGTACAACATCACTGGTCTCGAAGACGGGACAAACTACGAGATTCAAATCGCGGTGATTCGTGAAGGTCCGAAAGGAGAAGGAGATCGAGGACCCCCTTTCAGTGTGAAGACCCAGGAGTTCTGTGAGTTCTTCAGTTTTATTTACTTTTTGTATCTTACAGCTTTTCTACAGAATAATCGCTTGTTTTTTCGATCGATATAATTCATTGTAATATAATGATTTAATTCAAGTAACTGAGTAATGTGGATATGAAATGTACTTACTTTCAAAAAGTGGGATTTTCAGTTTCATTGTCACATTTGAAAATTTAGCAAACGGAAGAGTGGTTGATTAGGAGTATTGCTTTTTGGTTAAGTCACAGACCTCCAAAAAGGATTTTCACCAAGCTTCCTCTTCAAATAAATGCGTGCCTGATAAATAATTTAAAAAACGTATATATATAACGATTCAGATTTTGGATATTAAAATCGGAAAAGTAAAAGTTAGTATGGATGGCATTGGGCAACAACATTTCAAGCATTTTTCTAAATATTTTCTTAAATATTCTTTTGGATCCATAAGACCTGAAATACCCACCTTTCTTGTTTTATATGATGTTTATATACGCCATAACAGTATGGTAATATTACCTTCTCGTTGCTGATTTCTTTCTTTTCTTGATTAAAGATGGAAAAGAAGAAATAATTTATATAATACTCATGTTTAACGGGATCATCTCAACTGAGAGAGCTATTTCGTTTATTTTGTTTTGGTTTTATTAGCCATGACAGTGGAGAACATAGCTGGATCAGCGGCCATAGGTCCAATCGCTGGCGGCGCCGCCGGAGGATTGTTCATCATTTTGTGTCTTATTGTTATCATCATCCTGTTGTTACGGAGAAAAAGGTATGGAGGAAGGGGTAGGCTAGATTGTTTATGCATTGCATATAGGTATATGAAATGGATTTATATTTTGTAATTGTATATAAATATATATATTATATTTTTCCTTTCTGAGGAATACCGTTTCCGAGGAATATTCAAAGCTAGAACTTTACTGGAAACTTTAAACAATATTCTTATACACTTCGGAGAGATCGAGAGGTCGAATTCGATTTAATACAAAGTGCTTTAATTTACAAAGGTCGCATTTGTCACTTTAAAATAGACACGGTAAAATCAACTTGTGTTTAAATAGGAAGTTTCTAATAACCAGTATCTACGTTGGAGACTTATTCAAAGAAAAAAATTAAAAGTCCTTTTATGAGAAATCGTCAAATTGCGATTTAAAATTCTATTTTTTCATCGATCACTTAAAAATTTGTTTCGTTACAAAAATGCTCCAGCTGTCATGGTTCCATTACAATTAGTGTGAATAAACAATATTCTGACCAAATACGTTAGTTGGTACCACATTTTCAAAATGGAATAAGTTATAATAACATTAAATCTGGATTTGTATTGCGTCTAAAATATCATCTCTAAGCACTTTAAAGATTATAAAATGGGATCTGTTTTCACTCGTTTTCAGAAACCGACGTGACAACGTTGGTAAACTCTCACCTCCTCCACAGCCTGCACATAATGACTATACACCCCAAGAGGAACTGGGTAAGTTCAAGAAGATGATATTATGGTGGTACATACAGTAGTAACGCTTTCTATTTTCCTAAAAGATTGTTCAGTGCATCCCTCGGGTGACATATAAATAACCAACTTGATTGTACGTTACATTATATATTTTCAATTTAGCCGATTCGAAAGACATTTATGGTTGTGTTTACAGAGAATTCTACCGCCACGTTAAACTGGCATTGTTGGATACAGAACCTTGGTTGAAATTAAGATTTGGGAAACGCGCCAGTTGAATGCAATGTGAAATGCTTTACATAATTATGCCAATAAGCAAATTGAGCAAAATCCTAGAGATAAATCTGGATTATTTCATATAAAGTGTAAGCCTTTTCTTATTCTTTTTCTGGCCATTTCCTCTCATTCTCTTCTTGTTCCCGACTTCGATGTGCGCAGAGACAGATGAAGAACTGGGACGATCTGGCCCATCGCCGTCGATCTCCTCACGACCCCCAGGGAGACCCACTGTTTCTCCGAAACATTGGACACATGCAGCAGCATCATCAGAGGCGATGGATCGCGAGGATGCCGGGGTACCAACTGTTAGTTCTACAGAGAGTGGTCCTAAGGAATGTCAGCCGATACCATTGACTGACTTCCCTGCTTCCGTTCAGAAGAAAAGTTCACGAACCCTAGAGAGACCCCCTATTACTCCCAAACGTTTGACACTTGCAACAGTATCACCACAGGCGATGGATCGCGAAGATGCCGGGGTACCATCCGTTAGTTCTCCAGAGAGTGGTCCTAAGGAGCGTCAGCCGATACCATTATCTGAGTTCCCTGCGTTTGTTCAGAAGAACAGGCATTCCACTTTCTTTCAAGAGGAATTCAATGTAAGAGATTTGAAACAGAAACTATGAAAGACTCTTAATCTCAATGGATTATTTTGCGTAGCTAAATATGGATCGGGAAAAGGGGCATGTGTCCCCCCCCCCCCCAGGTGCTCTTGTTTGACTAAAATGAAGGGACGGAGAAAAAGGGAGGGTGGAGAAAATTTTATACGAACCCCGACCATTCCTGTTGTCCTGCATTCCATGTACCTGGAAAATCTATTGCCCCCACGAAGTATAGGATTGCGGGACCCACTGAATAAATGATATATTCAATATTGATTCTTGAAAACGTCCTTTCAGTTTCACTCTCATAGTCATAGCATGAACTTAATAGCTTACTTTGTGAACTAATTATCAATTTCAATTTAATTTTTATTTTAACAAAGGACTTGCCGGAAGCAAATATCTATCCGCAAACCGTTGCCAAGAAGCAAATAAACTTCGAGAAGAACAGATACAAGAACATCCTGCCATGTAAGTAGGCCTACCTAGTACGTAATATCAGCAAGTAGCTAAAAGAGTCCCATCTCATTGATTGATAAGATTGGTTTTAGTGTAAGATCTGAAAATTTGTCTTAGTCCACAGAACAATGATTTTATATCTTAAACAGTTGTTACCAGTCGTTTTTTACGATAATGAAACGATAACAAACATAACACATAAAGCAATATAAAATATAAACATATATTACACGAACTATTCTATATAGGCAACGAAAAGAAACGAAGATCAAGAGATCACCCGCTTCAGATTAACCGACAAAGTTAATCTGTTCTTCCTCGGGGTCCCAAAATAACGACAAGAAATTGATTAATTATTGATAATAATAATATTGATAATAAAACACATCCATGGAACCTAGCTTAATTTAATTTCGATTTTATTGAAGGGTATATTTTTCGGGAAATAAAATGAACTTAAAGATTACAGTTAAATTTTTAGGCTACATAAATTATTCGATATTTTATAGGGATCATTTTTTACTTCTTTCTTAAACAATCCAAAGTTATCTAATTTTCAAACATTACGAGGTAAGTAATTGTACAGTTTACTACCACGATAGGCCTATACAAGAGTACGTTTGCAGTATTCTGTATTCGGCCTAGATAAGGTCATCTTGTTGCCATTTCTCAAGCAGTATTCTATTCATTGAAAAAAAAAGAGTGGAGCCTTATGCATAATTTTTTACATCAAGAAATAAATGTGATTTATTTGGCGATTGCGTAGAGTCTCCCAGTCAGTCCTGAACGTCATGAATTGTATGCACAGACCTATGTTATAAACATTTATTTTCAATATTATTCTTCCAGCACGATTTTGCAATTTCTGTAACCTATTCAACCGTGTCTTTTTTCGAGGTAGACCATACTACATCAGCATAATCAAAGTGGGGTAAAATAACTGCTTTGTACAAAAGCTTCGAACTTGATCAATTCAAAACATAAAGCCTTCCAAAATAACTAATCATATAGACTAACTAGACAAATAGAATGTCGCAGAATGGTGTGGACCATACAGGCCTTTTCGCGTCGTGATCTAGTGGAAACGTCGTGGGACTATGGATCACATAATTTGAATCCATAATGTAAGACGTCAACGTACATTTTCCTCTCTCCACCCAGATATTAAAATGGTACCAGTAGGAAGGAATTCCCTGATTGCTGTGAGCACCGAAATCGGTACCCTTTCAGAGTCGAGGTAATGTTCGTGCACCTTGAGCACGTTGCGTGGTGGATGTGTGCGCTTTAAAATTATCCGAAATTATTATTACTATGATTATAATTATTTCAGTTGTAGAACGCCGTAACCATATACAGTCTGATTATGAGTTAATATGTCCATCTTATATCTAGATGACTCATCGAGGGTACAACTGGCGATACTCAATGATGACCCAGATTCGGATTACTTCAACGCATCTTTCATTCCTGTAAGCGTACAGTACAAGCAACAACTCTCAGCCCAAAACCCTTTTGGCACATCGGTCTTGCCCTCACTGTGCAATCATACTTAGGCTCGCCCAGCTCGGATTTTCCTCTATAATCACCTCCAAACGCACATGTCTGATAGAGCAAGTCATGAAAATTGTCATCTTCTCTTTTGAGAAGGACGAACAACATATGTTTAAATGATAAATTTATCATAAAATTCAATAATAATTTTCGCACGCACATCTGTACGTCAGAGCGCCGGTAAATGTAAAGAAATTGGCCTGACTGTTAGCTTTCTCGTCCAAACTAATCGATTGTCGTACTGAGTCACACGTTACCACAACCGTGTACAATGCTTTTTAGTATTGATTATCAGCAAAATGATTACACATATTAATTTCCATCGCATACTTAACCATTCAAAAATAGAATCTGCATTTATTCTACTTTGAATTACTTTACAGTAGGTGCACGACCGACTCTTAACATTACCTTTATAAAAGAAACAAAGTCTGCTCTTCATTTTCTTTGTAATTGAAATATAAGCAGAACTGATGACACAAACATACCAAACATGTTTGTATGGTATTAATCAATGTTTGCTATGATGGATATTCATTTTCTATATAGTATATAAATATAAAGTTATGGAATAATGTATTTCGTTACAATACTTACTTTGTTTGTACGTCTATTGTCACCACATTCTCCTTTCTCCGGCAGAGCTTCCAACATCCTCGGAGGTACATTGCATCACAAGGTAATGAAATCATCATTATTTTGATGCAATTGCCGATGTATAATTCCAAGATGACACTGTTACTTTTTCCTGATGAATATTATTTGATGAGACACCTATATTTCTTGATCCCAAATTCAAATTAGCTATTAGTGATTAGGTTTTAGAAGTTGAGTTTACGTGCGACTTCGCTGGAAACATTTAGCACACATTTTGGGATCGAAATTCCCGCATTTAGTTGTGTATCATCTTTGTAATCCGAATTTTTAGTTACAAATTAAAATGTTGAAACGAAAAGTTCAAGTTCGAATATTTCTCACATGAAGAATACAGGATATAGGCTTATACCAACAAAAACACACCCAGTTGTCATGTAAACAGTTTAGAGGAAAGGCAGACATAAAGAAATGTATTGTTTGAAACTATCCCCATATCAAATTTCTTCCAAAATAGAACTCGAGTACAACCAAAAAAGACAAGACATCCCCAAAACAGATAATTAAACGAAATGTGTAGACAAAGCCATCCTAATCGTGACCTACAGTATGTTGCCAAATAATTTGCTTGATGCTCCGTTTGTTATGTTAATGTAATAAATGTTTATTTTTAAGGCTGATCGAAATTTGAAGAAATCTATACAAACAAAAACTCTGCTTTTATTAGATTCCTCATATTTCACCTTCGATTCTGTCTTACGTACCTCAGGTTTTCCGTGTATAGTTATGCTTTGTTTTGCTTCTTAGTCGTATTTGATATAAGAAAGTTTTGGAATGACTTACTTTTCATGATTTGCAAGGACCGAACAAGGCCTCTATGGATGATTTCTGGAGGATGATCTGGCAGGAGAATGTGGCGACTATTGCCATGGTTACAAACCTTAGCGAAGGAAACAAGGTACGTATTATTACAACATGTTTTTTCACCATGATCTTTATTCGATTCCATTAGACATAAATTATATTCCACTTGAATAAGTGGGTTATACAAATTATTATACAGAAACAAAAAGTTTAGCATGAAGTAAATAAAATAGCACCAACCTTTCACATTTATACATGTAGAAACAATGCTACATTAACTTTATCTCCCCTCCCCGCCCCTTCAATCTAGAACCCCCCCCCCCTCCCGTTCCTCTCTTCTTACCACTATACCACCCGCCCTATTCCCTAACCACCCTATACACGTACACATTATCACGCACAAAATACACCCATTGCCTTCTTACCAGACGCGCTTAACCCACCCCCCCCCCCTCCTCCTACACACACACCCTCACGCAGGGGAAGGAGATATTTTTGTCTATATATTAATACGTGATACCGTCACGCTGAGGCTTACTATTATTCGTGGAAATGTCAGATTTATCACGTTCACAGACATTAGTCATTAAACAAAAAATGTGGTGGGATTTAATGATAGAATATCCCCGCCAACAACAGGATTTATGTACGTGGACGACAAACGTAGAGGATTAGGGTTATGTAGGTTATGGGGTGAGATTATGATTAGCCAAGAAACGTTTGCTGTTGTCTCGTAACTGTGAGATCATGGGTTCAAAACCAAGTCGATGTGTTAGTGCCCTTTGGTAAGGCAATAATCCTTATTGCCAAGTACCTCAAAGAGAACTAAAAGCCATCTGCCGGCTGCTTATTTACAAGTATACACATAGAATGTACTTCTAAGCATTCAAGTTATACCATCAACCAATCACAATCACATTGTTGAAGAGTTGGTAAACTAACGGATTCCTGGTCAACTTTCGTGATGGGGTTATCCTAAAAGTGCTGCTATTTTTCCCTTTTATTTCAAGAATATAGTATGATTAGGAAATCCCCTTGTTCCCTGTGTAGCGGCAAGTGCCCTCTTCCGCTACTACCCTTTTGTTTGAGCTATTCCATACATGGCGTTTGCTACTCAGTGATGGTGGCCAGGCTCTTAACATCTTAAACATGGTTCTCCAGGGTTTGGGTAACTTTTTTGAGGATGGAAGTCTCAAAGATAGATATCCAAATGTTAGTAATATTCAATTTCCATTTTCCTTCGACGCATTAGATCAAGTGTCGTCAGTACTGGCCGGAAACGAGCACAACTCCTCTTCTGTTCGGTGACATTACCGTGGAGTTGGAATCTGTGGAGAAGTGCAGTGGCGGATCAAAGCGATCATTTGTCCTGCGAAAGGTACTATAGTCGTTAAATTTAATGATGACCATGGTTCATTATAGAAGTTATTGGCTTAATGATGTCGGGCAAAAGCAATACAATCAATAATTTCAATTAATCGAAACCGCTATGTAGATATATGATAGAGGATGGAGAATCAGTCACAATAACTTTGTGATAATAAATCATAAATTTCATAAAAAATCAGAAATAATTTATACACGAGTTAAATACTGAAAACCCACTGAAAACATTGTTGCAGGCATACAAGTCTAAAAAGGTTTATAGATGGATATGTTTGGTATGTGTTTGGCACATCTTTTTTTGTCTAGGGCAAAGCAAAGACTCAGAGATTTCTCAATCAGTTCCACTACACCAAATGGCCTGATCGAGATGTTCCAAGGAACATGTCCTCTCTGCTTGACTTTATCTCTGAGGTGAGGAAGGATCATGAACAGAACAACTCTCCATTGTTCATTCACTGCAGGTAAGTCTAACCATGGAGGATCTTTGGTCTGAATGCTAAAACGCCTGTAGAATCGTATGACCTTGCCTTATAAGAAAGTACATGGTAAATATATTTTTCCTGCTACAATCGTACTACCATGGTTTTACCATGGGACGTTGTGAGGGTTTTACCACGGTAGTATCATGTCAGAACCATAGTTATAAAAAGTACCATAGTAACCATGGTAAAAACATTATACCATGTGGCACTTTGACGGTTACAATGTACATGGTCCAGTACCATCTCTGAGGTATAAAAGAAACATGGACAGAATACTCTCTATTGTTCATTCACTGCAGGTTAGTCTAAAAATGGAAAGGACCAAGGTCTGAATTTTAAATGCCCGTAGAATCATTTGACCTTGGCGGCGGTAAATCCCTAAAGTGACTCTCACACTCTGCCGTGTAGGCCTACCGTGTGCCACCGTGCGCGAAAATGTCTGCGGACGGTGGAGAACGGCGAGGGCACACGGTGGTTCGTTATCAAAGCGGGCAACACGTTAATAGGGCGTTGGCGCTTATTTACACCCGGTGGGACCCGGCGAAAGTTTTGGGCATGTTCAAAACTTTGGCCGGCTGGCACCGGCCGCAAGTAAGCGGCAAGAGGACGGTGTTGAACGGTATGAGGACAGTATGAATACGTTAAGAAAACGGTCACACTGTATGAGCACGTTCACAACACGCTCATAACCCGTTACAGAACGGTGATGAAAAATGGAGAGCGGACTGACCGTTGCCGTTCTAATCGGGGTATTTATGGCAGTCGTGTCATGACGTCAGCAGTCCGGGGACTCGCTAGCCTCTTGTCGATGCCCTCGCGCTGTTGGAGTCTCTAAATTCTGACGAGCGAAGCGAGTCAGAGAAACCGAGGCGCTTGCGCGGAGGGCCTCTTGACAAGTGATCTGAATTATATATTCATGAGACCCGATTTCCTACTGAATTATGCATGTCTAGACCGCAGCGATTGTGTGTGTGTACGTGTGTGTTCGGGATTGCCCAACTAGGCTAGTCTGCAAGCACAGACCCTAATTCGACACTTTATCAAAAAATCATTGTGCCTTGAGAGAAGCCTTGCCCAGCTATCTACTGGTACCTACTGGTTGTACCAATATAGGTCAGGAGCAGCTATAGTACGTGGCATATGGTAGTCATATAGTGCACACTCTCTTTTACGACTGACCAGGGTTTGTGCTTGCAGACTACAACTAGGCGGCCAGTCTCGCTCTCACGGAGGGAATTCGCACAGAGCGGTAGATATATCGTCATAGTAGCTCTCTCTGATTGGATGACTTTCACCGAATTCTGCTGGGTCGGAATATTCGCCAAACATAGTAAAACATAAGAAATTCAGATCACTTGTCAAGAGGCCCTCCGCGCAAGCGCCTCGGTTTCTCTGACTCGCTTCGCTCGTCAGAAGTTAGAGACTCCAACAGCGCGAGGGCATCGACAAGAGGCTAGGGACTCGCTCACAGGACGCTCCGAGCGGTGAGGGGACGCTAAGTGACTGGTAGGTGGCTGCTACAAACCCGGTGCACACGTTCGAGACCCGGTATGGGCCCGGTATGGAAACGGCCAAAATTTTCAACAAAAGTCAATCTGGGCGGTGAAGACGGTAGAAGAACGTTCAACACCCGGTATGCGCCCGGTGAGAACGGTCAGAAGATGGCAACGAAACGGTGAAAAGATTAATTTTATGAATTTTTGTTTGCGGCCGGGGACAAGTTCGCTCAAAACCCAACGTTCTGGACTCTGTTGTTTTTTTAATAGCCCGGCAGGTGGACGGTAGGCCTACACGGCAGAGTGTGAGAGCTCCATAACAGAAGAAAGGACCAGAAACAAAAACTCGAACCATGATTAGAATACTATAGTCCCGTTATTTTGTCAAATAACCGAAATACGTGTAGGACGATAGTGATACCATATCACGCTACTCTTGATTCTTATTATTTCCATTCTACTAGAATTTAAAACTTTTTACCAAATTAAATTGATATAAGTATGATAACAGAATGTTGTGTCAGATGATAATCATGACAATAAATTGTAATCCAGACTTTATTAAGAAAAAAGAGACGGCAAAACGAAAAACCTAACCAAATCAATGCATGTGGAAGAGAAGATGGTTCCTATACCAACTCTACACATAGTAATGACTCTGCAACACTTACCACAATTACGGCCATTGCATACACTATGGGATCGTTCCATAAAAATTCTTTATTTGATTCCCACCTAGCGCTGGTGTTGGGAGAACAGGTGTGTTGATAACCATTGACAGTGTAGTCAGTGAAGCCAAGAGAAACAAGCTAGTGGATATCTTCGGTTTCGTGTCGAAGATCAGGCAGAGTCGACCCAACATGGTGCAGACAAAGGTCAGGAAAATGAAACGCTTTATGTGGCGTCATGAATCAATATCATGCAAGGGCTTTAAAGATCGAACACCTTTTTAGGCATGGTAATGATTCAAAATCCTCTAATTATCAAATCAAAATTGATAATAAGAGAATTAGTTAGCAGATATATCTTATAAAGTAGGCTTACATTGAAAGTTCAATTTGTACAAAAAGGCCAACCCGAGTTTGGCCTTTCAGCGGGACCCAAACTTCCCTCTCAGCTCTCGTCTATAACGATTTTGCTTCCTGACGAATCAAATGAAACTTTGAAGGAATTCATCGCACGTGCGTACCAAGAACTTTCAGTATAAATTATATCACCACAAATTGTATGGCAATAAACGAACATTGCAAATTAAGTATGGAATTAGGCCTAATAAAGGTATAAAATCAATTCCTCGATGGAAAGGCACATAGTAATACCATCTGAACACCAAGTCAATCCCAAAAGGAAGTCGTTCAAGGATTGTATATTGTTTCTTCTTTGTTTTAAATACAGGAGCAGTACAAGTTTGTGTACGAGGCTGTTCTTGAATATCTACTGTCGGAGAATACGGCTATCCCGGTCAACTATTTCACGTCTCGCTTGGCAAGGCTTCAGGATATTGATCGCAACAGTAAAGGAAGGCGAACAGGAATGTCTGTCCAGTTTGAGGTGAAATACACCACCATAAATACATCCTTTATTGATCGATTGCCCCTCTCCCCTATCTCTACTAAAGATATCGTCATGGTGTGTGTTTCCACCCGGGGTTTCCACCCAACAATCTGTCGGTACAATATGAGTTTATAATTTGAAAGTACCTCTGAATAAATGGTTGTATTAGTCATGTACAATTTGCCGGGAGCATGCATACTCGTAACGTGTGCCCTCATCAGACCTTAAATTTTTTTTTTTTGTCAGTACCCACAAACTCCTCTGAGACCCTTTCACTTATTTCTTCTTTATTTTGGAGGGGGACTGGGGTCGTTCAAATTGTCTCAGAAAGAATAATACTATTTGTTAATAGAGATCATCATTTTACAAGTCTGTTGTCCTTCTTTTCTCCTGTCTCCTGTGTAGAGCATCAAGATCCTGTGCCCCGACCCTCCTGCAAGTATGATCAGAAATGGAACCACTGCAGAGAATAAACCTAAGAGTCGATACGGCAACAGTCTTCCAAGTAAAGATTCATCATCTTCCCATTCGTGACTACGATTACATACAATACAGTGATATCTATACCATGTGAAATATATATATGCTGTGATGTGATGATAATTAGATATCATAGGATAGATGTTTTTTTGAATTATACATAAAAAATTCAAACTGACATCAGATGATATCGTTTTATATTGCAAACACAATTATTGCAATATATTTTTTTTCAAATTGGAGAAAATAACTGAAATAATTTAAAAGGTATCGGGTTTTTTATACGATATATACCTACTCGAGATATTAAAACATCTAGTCTTAGGGCAAATCATCGTTTAAAACATAGGTTACCAAAATGGAGGTCTGAGCAATGATTTTATTATTTTCTACTTCTCAATCTTTTTTCTCCAAATTATAATAAAGGCCGAGTGAATCGAGTAATGCTGCGCTCAGTTAACACTCAGTCTTCAGATTTCATCAATGCTAGCTTCGTGAGAGTAAGTTATAATCTTTTAAGTACTTTATTATCTAAAGTTCATCTGTTTAGAGTCAGTCAGTCTGGTTTGATGTACCTTCATTAAGTTATTTGAGTAAATGTAGTGTGTAAGAAATTACAGTTTGCCTCATTCTTTATATAACGGCATTTTCAATTAGATAGCTTTGTACTTCTGATGATTACGTCTACCTTTGTTTCTACCTATTTTTGAGCAAACTTAGAGGTCCGAAAGAAACATTTCTGCAAACTGTAAAATTTAAGGGAATCACTACAAAGATTCAAGCCATGACAATGATATGGGCCTTTTAGCAATCGCAGGTAAGACAATAAGAATAAACGATAGTGTATTCGTCTTTATTCATTTGACGACAAAACGAACTATTTTTCCAATAAAACAGCTATCATCTCGAACACACTTTGTCATAAATATCAATTCAGGCTAGTTGGAATTCAATCTCCTGCAAAGAGGAGTTCCAACGCTTACCTATAAAACCTAAAAGCAATTCTACGACTCATTTCTATATTTGTTAGGGCAATCATGGTCGGTTGATAACCACTGAGATGCCTATGCCTAACACCGTAGCTGATTTCTGGGTGATGATACTTGACTACCAACCAACGGCTATCATCATGCTGAATGATGATAATCAACGAGACAAGGTATCTATGTGTAGTAAAACAAAATAATAAACATAGATTTAATTTACTCGTTGTAATGTCCGTTGAAAAGAATGAAAAGAATGAAAATTGATTTGTTTTTTTCTAGCCATGTATAGGGCTATCTTCCGAATAATGAAAGTAGAAACAATAATTATGTAGTGGATTGTAATAGATATATTTCTGCACTGAACATGTAAAGAGGGGACTTCCATATAGACCGTGTTGTTAAGCTTAAACATTCCTAAACGTATTTGCCATCTTTGATCTTGTACCTTATTAATTTTTAAAACGACCAATGTATACTGAGTATTGGTATAGATGACATGCGATAAAATAACATTTCAACAGTTTTAACGCGTTTGTATCGTAAATTGGTGTGTAGTTTTTGGCTAGATTGTAAGGCGGGGATTGTTGGCATGTTGAAAAACATCGCCTTGATGCCACCAAACTCATATCACTATACAGAACAAATCCAGAGTTACCATCAACCTGAGTGTATGACATATTCAGTGTATGACTTTAACTCATTATGTGAACTGTATTGTTGTATACTACAACCAGAACAACTGTGATTTATAATATCCTCTGTTAACTGAAAATTGGGAATAGCTCTTCATGTTGGGATTTTAATAAAGAAATTATTTGACATTAAATTTGTTTGGAACATTCTCCTAGAGCTGTGCACGGTACTGGTTCGACAATGGGATGGCGACCTTTGGATATCTCTCTGTCTTAACATTGGCGACTACCCAAAGAGAAGGCTTCATCCAAAGGACATTGGAAGTTTCTAGGGGAGATAAGGTAAAGCGTCTTCTTAATGCGATCCTGTTTAGGTCTATATAGGTATTCTAAAACTTAACCAATTATCAAGAGCGACGGACTGTTGTTTGTTTTATTTCGCTTTGTTTCTCTTGTCTTTGGCAGGTTTTACTTTGAGGATTCTTTATTTTGTTTGTTTTATTTTGCTAGTTTACTCTAAATGTTGCCGGAAAACGTATATCGAATTGTAAGTCTATCGAAAGTACACAAAAACATGGCGAAGTTCTATGGTAAACCTGCAATCATGGAAGTGGAGCATGTTATAAAGCTGCCTAAAATCTTTTTGATTAGGAGATCTCTGTAACCCAACTAAAACACCTAAACAAGATATTATATACTCTAGAAATTAAAGTGTTAATCACAATTGTAAATGGCCGAGAAGTGTCAGTGTTTTAGAAATGCTACATAACACGTCAACACGCTCTATCAAATCCTATAGACAGAGTGGGAACGAAAGAGACATCGCGACCAAGAGATTTCAAGAAAGAGAAAGAGGGAGAAAGGCAGAGAGAGGCAGAGGGGATGGGGGGGGGGGCTAGATTTAGGCTAGTATATTTAAAGACCCATTCATCTTTAATCAACCGAGGAATGAATATCGCCGGGGAGATGGCTAGATAAATCAATCTGCATTAAAAATAAGGGATTTATTTTTTTTAGATTGTAGAGATTTATAAATATCTGATTCAGACATAATATTCAGGACGAGGCCGTGATGTACAAACTATTTTTTGATGAGCTTGTTCATATTTCATGAATACTTTGTTAGGTTCGTCATGTTGTAGAGCAGTACCAGTTTCTAGATTGGCCAGTCGATGTGATCAAACAGAAGAAGAGCGCACGATCTCTTCTAAAGCTCATAGAGGAAATGAGGGAGGTCTACTCTACTCAAAACGAGTCGCCACTCGTAGTGCATTGCTTGTAAGTATGCAGATCAAAACAAATGTAATATACATCGGATAGGCCTACTTTGCAAGTCCAGATAGTAAAATAGTATATTATGTATATCCAGACTTTCTTATAAGTAAACGCGATGTTAGGAACCTTCTGTAAATGGGACATACTATATAATGAGACAAATGTTGACAGTTGGACCTCACTACTAAAAGTACTTTCCATCTACAATTCTACATGATCTATCATTAATCGTCCCCACTCATTGTATTTCCTGGGGCGAAATGTGATAACTAACGCACACCCCTCACACACATTTACACACACACACAAACACACACACACACACACACCCACACGCGCGCGCGTACACACACACGCACACAGACGTACGCAGACACTCACACCGACGTGCTCTGTCTCGAAATAGTTAAAGATAATCTCCAGTACTGGTAAAAAAAAAAAAATAATTCTCACAGAATCAAACGAAACTTACACTGAATGTTCAAGATAACAAATAAATGACATGTGCCAAACAATTTTGGAAGAAAATGTATACTGGCTGAGTAATGAGCATAGAAAGACAAGGAAATCAAGGTAGTACTAGCCCCGACACCATGTGTGTTGTCCCATATATAGCTTTCTGTGTGAGTGCTTGTTACTTTACCAAGACTCGGTCAAATTTATTATGATTTTGATGACTCCAGAACCTTGCAGTGCACACCAATACTTACATGCTACATGATCAACTGTTTCTGATCCTTTCCACACCTTTTCTTTCACAATGCAATCGCATTACCAGTACTAAAGTTTGTCTTTAATAGAAGTCTATATTGAAATTTTTTCATTGCTAAAAATCAAAATGTCCAGGCTGACGATACTTCTTTGGTTGATAAAATAATACCAGATCTGTTTACGGTTGTGAGGCCAGTTCTTTATTATCATATGTATCATATTCCCTATACAAAGTTACCTTTGGTATTAAACTTTCCACGTGTATGTAGTACATGTATACTACTTCATGAATTTGTTTCGTAATTAAATTTCTTAACTTTAGTAAGTTAAATATAAGTATGTATGTTTGTTTTTATGTATGTAAAAACGGAAATACATAGTAACGAAGAGCCTGGATACTGGCATCCCGCCCCCTTAATTTGAGGATTTGTTTGGGTGACTAGGAAGAAAGGTCTCACTTTCACTTACTACCATATTTATCTTTTTTATTTCCAGGAATGGAGTAGGTCGCACGGCAGTCTTCTGTACTGTGCTTGAGTGCATCTCTCAGATACTTGACGAGGATGATGTCAATGTCTTCCAGACGGTGAAGATGATGCGGAATGATAGGATGCACTTCGTTCAAACCGAGGTAAGGTAGGCCTATCCCGTATTATAAGATGGGTAGAAGAATCCCTGCAATCTGATTGGTCAATTACCGTGTAGTTATTTTTATTGGATGCACGCTATATCAGGGATCGATAACAATTCTGACTATTTTTTGTTGATATTTTTTTTATTTTAAAAAAAATAGAGTTTACGGTTTATGTGCACTGCGCCTCGTTGGTTCAAACCATTCTAAGGTACCTTTTGCACACGATTCCTACCAACACACTCAAACCTGTGCATCATTTGTATATAGACATGACATTTATTCACTCAAAATTAATAGTAGGCCTACTGTTAACCACTTGCGTACATAAACCAGGTGGATCTTGTGTTAAGCTTATATGAATGAGAGCATCAATCACTTTGGGATTAAAGTTTTGGGTTTTTTTTTTGCAAGTCGAAAACAGAAGATTTAAATCTAACTATATCCAATACTTATTACGTTTGGGATACAATTATGACTAGTTTTATATACTTATAAATGTATAAAGACTTTGAAAGTCCAAGGAAATGTCATGATTTAAGTATTTGTATAGTGTATATAACCAAACAATCTGTTTCATGTAGGCAGGTTTTTATGTTTTCCTTCTCTCCTCTCTAATGTACTCTAGTTGTATTATTATACTTTCAATTTTATACTCACTTAATTTATATCATCTTTTGTTTAATAATATATCAAACATATCTACATGGGCTTTCTGGGATATCTGTCTTCCAATTCTTACATTATCAGAGCAAATATCGTTAAAGAAAACACATGTTGTAATTCTAAAAGAGGTGACGACTTTTAAACAATTCGTTCCGCGAGCATATAGCGAAATCTTGACAGGCATTTTATAATATATTATTCTAATTACAGGAGGAGTATGCATTAATCCATATGCTGATCAATGGGTATATACAAACCAACGATTACGAGCAGTTGCCTTGCGCTGACAATGACGAGCATACATACGGGAACTTGGATTGCGCTGCACGCCCTGCCGCCGTAGAGAGCGTGTATGAGTTAACCGAGATCGAAGCTGGCGCCACAGCGTGTCCATCGCAAACACACACAGAGGAAAGAAATGCGAGTGAAGATGGGGGAACACAACAAGTACAGGCTAAGACAACAGACGGAGAGACTCTCTACGAAAACTTTGCATATGAATTTTAGGAGGTGGACTTACTACCAGAATTATCTTCTTATTATACTTGGTAAAAGTATAACATTCATAGGGTATGTCCTACTCTCGGCGTGATATAATACAAATAATATACACATTCAGTAACTAGGATTTTGTTAGGGTGCAAGGTTGGATACACAAAAACAAGGAGATTTTTCCAATGATATATTTCTTATTCATTCACTTATTCAGATATATTTAATCAGGATTACAAGATCACTGGGAAATGAAAATATCTGTTGTCGCATTAAAAACATGACAAAATAAACATGAAAACAAGTATGAAATCAAAACAATCGTGAAAATAATCAAAGGAGAAAAGAAAATGAAAAAAGGTACGGGTTGATGACTACCATGTATGTACAGATGCGTTTTAGTATTAACGTGTACCGGCAATATTTAGCGTCAATCTGTGGCAAGCTTCATTTGTTTCCACTTTCCAAACAATCTATAATATTCAAGAATGAAATAATGCCGATTTGTGTCTTAATCTTTGGATCTGCATGTGAATGGACCTGAAATTTAAAAAAAAACTTGTAGACCAGGTGCTTGTGGGCTTACATGTCGTACTGGGATGATAATGATTCAGAGAATGAATCGGAGAATGAGTCATTTTGTTTCAAAATTAAGTGGATAATGTTCAATATAATTATTATGTCTCATAGTAATTTGGTAGATTGTTGAAGTACATGTACTATTGGGGTCACAGTTATTCCATTATAAAGGGACATAATCTAGACGAACAAATTGTAGAGCTATGTGCACATAATGGAAATCTATTATCAAACATATAGAAATAATCATGAAATACAAATTACAAGAATAAATTTCCATGGACTTTGAAAAGTGCGTCATAAACTTCAGACGCCAAACTTTCGGATGTTTACATGAAGCCTTTTTTGTTCTTCATCAAATATATATAAACATGGTACAGGATATCTGCCATTTTGTGTACTGAGTTAGTTTAGGATTAGTGTGAGGTATTTTACTCGAAGTAGCGGCCTCTATAATGTTGATCTGTTATTCTTGTGTGTTGTATGTTGGAAGCTCGGTAAATAAAAGTCAATAATCAATCAATCAGCAAATAATTATTATTTCAATATGCATTCATATAACCTATCCAGAATTTAATTTAATGTAAAATTTACTCGATTTGAATCGGCTATATTGCTTATTATAAAGACTCGAGGAGTAAAAAAAAAATATCGTTCTCGTAATGAGTTTACTTGTATGATTTTGGTACTACCCAGTATTTATATAATTATGATATACATAGAACCATGTAGGTTATGCGCAGTGTGATATATCATTACACAAGTTTAGGTAACAAAGTGGATTTAGAATTGATTAAAATAACTAAGCATCATTTTACGTGATATTTTTAGAATTATGTTTATAATAAGTTTTAAGCCCATTGCATGTTTGCAACCACTCTTGTTTACATCAGCTTTTTATATATGCCTCTCTTACTTAAATGTGTCTATTCTTTTGTTTGGTTATAATATGTTTGTCGCGTTTTTATATTTTGTTACAGTTTACCTTTTAGTAACTCTTCTATTACTCTGCAATCGCAAAAAGTGTCATTGTTTGTAAATATGCTCTCCCCTTAAATCAATCAAAAATTAAAAGTATGTTTGCATTTTAACAAAAAAAGAAATAATAACAAATAGAATAAAAATAAAATAATATTAACATAATAAATGTACATAATGCTAATATGAAGCCAACGTTACTATACTTCATGACGTTTTTTTAGAGTATGATAAGAACATTATGTTGAATACTAAACGTCGATTTCTTAAGTGTGAAAATATGTACCCATTAGTTGATAAACAGTTATTACAGTATTGTACTAGTTATTACATACAAAGTATATATCTCTATAGTATGCAGATTTTATGGTCGCCGAATAATTTTGTATAAGCATGAGAATATCCTATATTGCTTCAAGATGCTTTGCGACTCTTTTGCATTTTTAGATTGGTGTTATTATATCTGATTAGTTATCCAAGGACCTATATCAATCAAGAATCAAATAATTCAAATGTAGACGTGTTACATGTAGATTTATGCCGTCGTATGGCGGTGTATGTTTAAGTTATGGGATAAGTATGTTAAACTCATAGCACATTTTACAATAAAAGTCACACAATTTCATTTACTCATTTACTCAAACAATTTAAACCAAAACAGCTGATGTTCATACTCTGCAGGATATGATGCATCCATTCATTAATACTTGTACGACATATCAAACAATTATATTTTTGATATGACTATACATCTGTAATTTTGTAAATAATTATGCCACAAATTATCATGTTTATTGGGGAGTTTAAAGCACGGGGATTTAGAGAACACAATCTATGACAATTATTGGTAATCATTGAGGCACATGCGCCTCCGTGGCATTACTGCATCGGTCTCCTAAACTGGGGATTGTGGGTTCGAGTCCCTACCGGAGGTGGGTACAGTATTTGTTTTAATTCAGATCACATCTAAACTTTTATTTTATGTGTATCATGGACGAACTCACGAGGATCCATGATTGTGCTAAACGGTCGTGATGAGGATGGGGGAGTTACTTTTCCAGGACATAATTTCTTATATTGCAAACAGGGTCTGAATGTCATAAGAAATGTGTTCACTTTGACTTGATGATTTCCCACTGACGGTGTAGTGATTTATATAACACATAAATCATATCAAATGATTGGATAAATTAAATGTAATATCAATTTAGATTTATATAATCAAGCATATATCATGAGTACAATAAACTTACTTATCAAATACAATTCGGCTTATGAACCTGCTTCTTTATTAGACGATGCAGCCATTCTTTACTGTCTTTTAGATGACAATTATTCAGTTGTAGTTTGTCGAGTAATGATGTGTGCGCTGTATGATTGAAAGCAAATGTGTAAAGTCATAGGTTTTCGACCGTTATAATTATATCTCCTAATCTCATATCACATTAATCCTCTAGTTATATGATGAATCTAAAGCTATTCGTACACTGTGAATAATACTAAAGAGCAGGACAAATAAATCGGCAGGAGATTTAAATATTCAGGAAGAAAAATGATAAAAGAGCGTGCAATAATACATCCGGAAATTAGCCCTTTTAGGTGAAGTTTCGAATTACATACGAGAAGATGGGGAAGAAAGAGGAAGAAGAAGAAGAAGAAGAAGAAGAAGAAGAAGAAGAAGAAGAAGAAGAGAAGAGAAGAGAGATTCACAGGAGTAGAGGAGGCGAAGGAGGAGGAGGATAAAGAGAAACAGGAGAATAACAAAAAGTACAACAAGGAGCATGTGAACCAGGAGAAGAAGAGAAAGAAGGAGAGGAATAAGACGGTGAAGAAGAAGAAAAATAAAAAGGAAAAGAAGAACAACAAGAACAACAAGAAGAAGCAGAAAGAAGAAAATAAGGAAGAGATTCGCAGGAGGAGAAGAAGAAGAAGTAGAAGAAGAACTTCCCTATGTACATGACTGTATAGGCCTTCACAAAATGTAAAAGCCCAAAGTTTCATGCTTGTTTCTAACTTCAGGAAGACATGTGAATTAGCATTGCTTTACTTTAGCACAAACGGGCACGTACGTACGTCGATATCGTACAGTACAAATACATAGCTGTAATCTAGCACATTTGAATACTTCGGAAGAATCTAGGAAGATGACGAAGTCTTGTGTCTCTGACAGCGTTCTTCTAAACACTGGGAATGGTTTTTAAATTATAAGGTGAGTAACAATCTGAGTATTTGTATCCTTAAACATGGACTTACATTGACTCGTAAATTGTATTTTGTTGGGAATAATGATGTGATTTGTGACGATGATTGTAGACTTTTGTAGCCTAGATAGACGATCGGAAGCCGAGGAGCGCAATGCCCGATGCGATGGGGATGCTATCCTGTAGGCTGTAATGGTAGATGAGTGGTCTGGTGTGCGGTACTGGTGGTCTGGAGCGAGAGATGCCGCGCTGCAACAGCCGTGTCTATATATTGATTGTGTGATGCACATGTAATTCATGTCCATATTTGCAGCCAAAAAAAAAATAAAAAAGGTTAAATTCCAACGTCATTTGAAAGACAATACTCATTTAGAACTTTCCTCAAAGACGAAAAGGCTTGAAAATGGCTTTTAGTAGGAAAATAACGACCATAATCAGATAGATGTTGACAAATAATATTCTAGTTGTTGACAAATATCATGCTTTCTTTCTTTCTTTCTTCTTCCTTGATTTGGATTTTGTTTGACAATCAGTCACAGTTGACTATTATTTGCCACACACTATTTTATGAATTATTTATACAGTGTGTCCCAGAAAAAACGAACTGAGAATTATTGATGTTTATATCATAAATGACACATAAAGCTTCGCTCCTCCTCTCAGTTCATGCAACTCATAAGATGCATATTTCACGCATGAGTGATTAAAAACAATTTGAAGAGAGGGTACCAAAAAGTCATTTTTAAGGCGGTATCTGAATTTCAAAGAGAAAATCACATTTCTATAAAGACTTTCAGTTTCATATGACGCCTCACTCGGGAAAAATGCGCCAGGAATAACAAAGTTCTGTTTGTTTAAAGTAATGCTTGCATTTCCATAATTTGGTAAACAAATTTGTTTTTGCTGCCTGCCTGCCGTAGCAACAAACGGAGTTGACAAAAGACTTACCGGTAACTCCGTTTTCGTTGACAATCAGCCATGCACAAAGAATATGAAAGACATGATGTACATGTGTACAGTATGTATATTTGTGTAGGCCTACAGTATGTACAATTACATTGGCGCTAGTGATCATATCCAGACTTTGACCCGTATTTCCGGCATAGAGATACCCTACCGAAACATACCCAAAATCAAGTAAATACATGTATATATTCATCCATTGTTCAAATAATGGTCATGATTTAAAAGTCTTTATGTTTGTTACCTGTTTTGTGACAATTTTCTTATCTTTTTCTGAGTATTTTTCCTAAAAACGAAGACTTATAATATGCACTTTCTCATGGGATTCACAGCAAACTGCTAGCACGATACAATTGCATACCATACCAAACCGAAGGTGGGGTGCGGGTGCATGCATTTGTTAAGTTAGCGACCATAAACTATTACAGTCGCCAATGCATATTGAATATAACAGAGAAAGGCAAGAATAGTCTAGGAGAAAAAGAGAACCAATAGAAAATTATTGAGGGGTGAGTATCAAGGAGAGATCCCATGTCTTACTTGTGTACATGTACA